CATAGTGGTGAAGATGATAAACAACTTGTTGTTAAAGAAATGAGAAATGTATTAAACCATCCTTTTTGGAAACAATTTCAAAAAATTAATGTCATGTGAAATTATGATAGTGGTGTATATATATATATGACAACAAATATGAAAAAAATTTAATAAAATCTATTTTTCTCTAATATATCCATCCTGCTAATTTTATGATAATTAGTAGATAATAAAGTGAATCAATCAATCAAAAGAGAACATTATTATTATTACACTTACTTTCTCTAGTAGTAGAACAATTTGATGACAAATTTCACTAATACCCTGCTTACTAACATCAAACAACAATATCTGTATCATTTGATTTCTCATATGGATTATCCACACCTGTAAATCCTTTAACTTCATTGGATTGAGCTTTCTGTTATTATATATAAATGCATATAATATTTAACATCAATAGCGAATATCTTCCATTACCTTGATAACTTTTATACACAGGAACTTGTAAATTCCTTTCAATCATTCTTAATACAATATCCAATGATGTATTATTCCACTATGGTTGACAAAGATTTGTGGAAATTCTTAAACCTAGAAACCTGAGGGAGGATCATTGGGATCATGAGTGTTTTAGACCTAAAACCAATTTTGGGCGTGCAAAGATTATACAACAAGCTTGGAAAAATTTCAAGAAGAGACCCAAATTTATGGTAACCAAAGTTTGGAGACATCATTCCTGGTGAAAGAAATTCTTGGATGTAACTTCTCACAAGGTGAAAACTCCTTATATCTTTGAATTACGTTATGCTAAGGAATTTGCTGAGCATAGAAAAAAATGCAACAGATTCCCAGCTGATGTTGAATTTAGAATTAGAACATATGAAGAATATTACATAACACATGATTGGATAGATTCTAAGAAAAATCAGTTAAGAGAAAGGTTGTGGGATTATGTTAAAGAATTGTTAAGGGAACGAGGTTACAAAATAGTTGATGACAGGCTTGGTATATGATGTTAAAATGGGTCGAGAAACTAGATTATTATGCTAATACTAATAAGAACTATCCGCACCTTGTTAGAATATAATATGTCGTCCTGAGGGCTGATAACTTTTTTTATTCCAGTAACAATCACGATAACCGTTATCAATGTTGACGATTGAATTCGGGACATACTCTTGGAAATGCTAATAAATATATATTTTTATTCGACGCAAAAACAACTTGCTTTATTATGCAGTCAATGACTTTATCTGCTTTTCCAGGTCTAGAGGATTCATCCAACCAAGGC